AAGTGGTACATGCATGTAACATATATTGATTGTTTACACACACACACTACTGTTGCTTTCCACCTCTCCACCCCAATTTTTCTTGCCGATCTCCAAGAATCTACATCTCTGCGAATTAAATGAAATTAATTTAGAAATTAAATGAATTTAATTTGATGAACAGCATTTCAATTTAAATACACATGTAGCTAGTGGCTACCACATTGAACAAGACAGCCATACATATCTCAGTTCTGCAAGTGTCCTCCTTATGCTTATGTAACCTTTGAGTGAGTTACTCAACCTCTCTGAAAAATATAAATAATATATACCTTCTCTGGGCCTTATGCTCCTGTGAGTTGATGTGTATAATAAAGCATTTAGCATAGTGCTTGACACAGAGTAAGAAATAACTAAATGTCAGCTAATATTACTCTAATTCTTACAAGTGTTTTGTAAGTGTCATGGAGGGGGATACAAAGGAGAGGAAGGTGCAGTTCCCGTGTTCAATGTGTTTGCTCTCCTCAGCAGACACTTCTGGGTCCACCAAAGGCTGCTGTTGACAGATGATATGGTATTTCAGATGGACCTTGCCAGAAGTTGTGGAAACAAGGAGCTTTGATACGGTTGATGCAGCCTAAGCAGAGACAGGGACGCTGAGATCCTTGTCCAGGCAGGAGAGACTGGCCTTTTGTTTTAAATTTCTCTATCAATAAGCAATTGTTCCATGCCTGCACCCTAGAAATGTCAAATACTCTTTTAAGTATACAAAACTGGATTTCCACTTTGAAAATTATAATCTCTATTACTTAAATTTTTTTTCTGTCTAAATTATATTTTGGCAGCAGCCACCAAAAAAAGATCTGTAGGCCATGTTCTAAAATTGCACTCTTTATATGTGTCATTTCATTTAATTCGCAGACATAGCACTCTGTGCTACAGAGCCATTATCTGAAATCCCAGAGACCACACGTGATTCAGAGTTCTAATTTTTCAAAATTTTAGAAAGGTAATGTTAGACATAACTTTCAGACAAGTATTATTCCAGCAATAAAACATTAAATGCAATAAATAAGGACTATAAGTAGCTCTATCAATACAGATTGTTTTTCTACAAAGGGATGAGATTAGCTTGACAAAAAAGTTAAAAATTCTGTTTTGTATAATTGCTGAAATGTGGGATTAAAGATAATTCCTTCAGTTTTTGCATCATCCCTCTTTGTGAAGCTGTTACTGGCAGAACCTATATTTTTAGAGGCTTGTCTGGTACGGAGTCTCATGTTCTTTCTGCCTTTCCCACATAAAAAGGCTAGTCTCGATGGAGAGTTGTTTCCCCTTAATAAAAAGCATTAACACTTCACTCAGCAGGGCTTTGATGACTACATTTTGAGCCCTCATTTTATGTATTGTCGACTGCCGCTTTCTCTGTACCTCAAACAGTGGGAGGGGCTTGCTGTTTTGTTGACTGAATCATGTCTCATCTCTAGGTGGCTCTCCTTTTTCACAGCTCCTCCCAGGTCAGGGATTTCTAGCACAGTAGGGTGAATGGTAGACCAGTGGCATCATTCCTTGGTATAAATTGCTTTCTGACTGTGTTTTCGGGATATAGTAAAAACAGTTCATGTAAAAACTGCAGCCAGGCCTTTATTACCACATACATGGTGAGAACGACTATGGAGTCAGCGGTGTGTTGTACCTGTATGAATGTCGGATCATGAATTGCTTCTTCACTTCCTGGCCAGAATCACCATAAAAACTTATTTTTTTTCTTTTCCCATAATTTTTCGAATGGTACTCCCTAATTTAATGTAGTTAGAAGCACTCTGGCAGACTACCTACCTCCAATTTTCTCATTCCTTACCCAAGTCACTTTAGAAAGGAACAGTTTGCTTTTGGGGTCTTAGTAACTGTTTTTGTTTAGGGAGGTGAAAATTGACCTGCATAACATTTTAAGGGTAGTCATGTTGGGCACTTAAACTACTTTCTGGGCTTCCTTCTTGGGTGGGGAAGCTCTGCCCTCAAAAGGGACAAAGATGATGGCACCTGCCTGCTGTGTACTATTCTCATTCCCTTTCTACTCTGGATTCCCTTTCCTTTAGTTCTGTGTCTCACAACTGAGGATAGGAGAAATCAGCCTGGACATTGCAGGTGTTCTGGGGAGATTTGGAGCAGGACACCCATTCCATGCCTTCTCATGCCTCATATGACGGTTTGGCTTCCATGTGAAGTTCAGATAAACCCTGAGTGCCATTTTGCCCTCCTAGATTTCTCCGACTCATGGTGTCCTTTTCCTTTTCACGTATCCCATAAAAATATGTACTCCAACCTACAACCTTTCACCTTTTTCTGGGGCCCAACACTACCCAATTGCTTTTCTCTCATTGTATAGATTTAATGGGTTCCGGTCTGCCCATCTGCCTCTAAGAGGTTTTGACCTTAGAATCCATCCTTTGGAAAAGCTATTCTGGACTTTTGCTTGAGATAGAACTTAACAAACCAGATTGGGGCCGAGGTTACTGCCTACAAGAGAAGTACTGTACCTACTTCCCTTCTCAGCTTGGTGTTTGATTTGGCTATATACCGGCAACAGCAGGCCCCTTAAGTGTTTTTAAGGTACATTGATTGCTCAGAGTTCTGCAGGGGAGGCAGCTGATCATGTACACAGTTGTTGAGAAGGGGCTTTTCAGGCTGTGCCAGAGGATGGGGCAGGAGAGAGTGTTAGGGGAAGACTTAGCCCAGCGTGGGAAATGTGGCACATAAGTGCTCATTGCCAGTCACAGAGAAACTGTGTGGAGAAAATGGAACTAACAACCTGGACTTGAGATGGTCATAGGAAACTGCTCTTAGATGAAAATGTTTATACTGCTTTTCACCAAGGTTCTATTTAACTTAGAGAACAAAGCCTTCTAATCTTAGGTATTTCACCTGTTGGTATGCTGTGCTCCTAGACTGTGGGTGGGCACAGGGGAAGGTACCTCCTGGGACTGTGGTCTCCAGAGCTAATCGGAGCATGAAAAGGGATAAGTAACACCAGGCTTCTCAAGCAGAAATGACTCCCCTGTTCCCCTTTTATTACTTAGGATGAAAACAGCAGAGGATTTATATTGCCAGCACTCCTCTCACTAGCCAGTAACTGAACCCGTTTTGGGTTTGTTATTTATTGCTTGTCACTTATAAAACATGTCATAATGAAGCAGGATCATTCACTGACTTACAACTTAGATCATGCATTAAGTATTTATTTATAAAACCTAAGTAACAGATTTGACCATATTTAATTCTTCTTGTTGTTTTCAAGTAACAACCCTTGCACATTTAGACCAGAGCCTAACTACTACTTTTCACTTAGGAATTCTTGGTAGAGGGACTTGAAATTTTGTGTTCAGAAAAAATACTCAGCCAGGCATCGTATTGCACACCTGTAATTCCAGCACTCAGGAGGCTAAAGCTGGAGGATTGCAAGTTTAAGGCCAGCCTGGGCTACATAGCAAGACCCTGTCTAAATAAACAAATATAGGAAAGGGGAAAAAAGTCCAGTCATTGGGTAACTCTGTACAGTTATATAGATTGTAAAGCTCTACGGTGGCATGTGCCTATAATCCCAGCACTCCAGGAAACTGAGGCAGGGAGGCCAAGTTTGCTGTAGTAGACAACTTCAGGAAGACTCCATTTCAGAAGAAAAAATAAGGGAGGAAAAAAAGGACCATACCAGTCAGGGACCTCCTTTCCTGGTATTGGGAGCCTCAGGCAGTGCCTCACACGGCTTATAAACAGTCTTCAGTTTTCCTTTCTTTTCCTTCCTCTCTGCCTTTGGTAGTCACTCATAGTAGAGCCAGTTGAGGCCAGTACCTCCTCACCGTTGCTCTCCCTGTGCCAGAGGCCCCCGGGACTCCCACAAATGAGCCTATAAGCTGTCTAGAGGTGCTGCCGCGTTCTGAAGAAATCTGGTTTATTTCACTTCTCCCAGTTTAAAGAGCCTTCCTTTCAGCTACTGGCAGCAACTGCTTTCTGTATGGATCCAAAAAGGAATCTATGGAAATAATAAGGTTAGGAACCAACCTAGGAAGCATAAATTTTCCTTAGCAGTTTCTTGTAGATGCCTGGCAACAAAAATTCCTCTCCCACTTCAGGACCAAAAGCTTTATGAACTATCTCATACTACTTGTGAGCATGCCCAGAAATTTCTGAACCCACGTTAGAGTTGATAAAGGACCTTGGCTGCATTTAATTAAAGGTAATAGTGGTCATTATCCAGAGATTGGAAGGGTTTTTCCATTTAAAGCGTTTATGCACTTTCTGTGCTCCGCCACACACTCTTAACTTCTCTAGTCAGCAACTTCCAGAAGGCAGACTGAGACCATGGGATGAAAATCCCAGGTGTTTAGGTTAATCAGCTTTGACCTCTTTTCTATCAGTGACTAAATATGCCCCATGTATCTTATATGAAAAGGGCAACCACATTACTTAGCACCCACTTTTGAGATTAAGAAGGAACATTATTGACATTTATGTCAGGACAGTAAAAAATATATGGTCACCTTGAGTATGAATGAGTTTATGATACAAATATTTAAGACTGTATAATTTACTGTATTTGTGTTCTTTGAGAATCATATGATATGACTTGTTGCTGGCTGGTTTTTTTGTTTTTTGGGGGTGGTACCGGAAATAGAACTCAGGACCTCACACTTGCCAGGCAGGTACTATGCTGCTGAGCTATATCCCCTGCCCTACATATTTTTTACAAGTTTGGATTTCTTTCTTTTTCTAAGATGGGGCTCTTGCTATTGCTATGTTGCCCAGGTTGAGATCAAACTCTTGGGCTCAAGTGATCCTCCTGCCTGAGCCTCCTGGATAAGTGGGACCAGAGGTACTCCCAGCTCAGAAATCTGTCTGTCCTGCCGACAAGTCTCATTCTTAAGAGCCATTGCTTCATAGATTTGTACTATTTAATTAGTGTTTTGAATCACTCCTTAATTTTTTTCTTGTCTTCACCAACTAGAAATTTATTTTCAATACAGATGCAGAGCTTGCAAGGTGGCACTGAAGCCATAGCTCGATTGGATCAGTTAGAAGCTGATTATTATGATCTGCAACTTCAGTTATATGAAGTCCAGTTTGAAATCTTGAAGTGTGAAGAGTTACTGTTGACAGCACAGCTGGAAAGCATCAAAAGACTTATATCAGGTATGGTGTGTGCATAACCACGTAGGCCCCCAGGAGATTGAAGACATGGCAGAAATGCATTTAGATTCCAGCTGTGTTTCTTTTAAGACTTAAAAAGTCTATGCCTGAAAGAAACGCTTTAATGGAGTCTGAAGTGAAAGTAGGTGGTTTAATAGACTCAGCAGTACACTTATCCTTATTTTTTTAAGGGGTACTTTGGCTAGCACTTGAATTTCCAATGGTTTTTAATGTTGCAGCAGTGGAATGGGAGGGAGGTGAGGCCTTAAATCTGCTGCGTATTTACTATGTGCCAGGAACTGCTGTACACCGCCTGCACACATGCGGCCTGTGAAATATATTCCCTTGTAATCACCGTTTTACAGAGGCATTCCAGAGAGGCTGGGTTTGCCTGAAGCATGGAACCAGTCAGTGGCTTGTTCTGTCTGGCTGCATGGCCCACACTCTAACCAGGACCCTTTGTTGCTGTCCTGTAACAGAAAAGAGAGATGAGGTGGTGTATTACGACACTTACGAGACCATGGAGGCTATGCTGGAGAAGGAGGGGATGGCAGCGTCCATACATGTACAGAGGGAGGAACTGCTGAAACTGCAGCAGAAGGCACGCCAGCTGGAGGCCAGGCGGGGCCGAGTCTCAGCTAAGAAAGCCTACCTCAGAAACAAAAAGGTATCCAAGGCTTCCTCTTATCCATTATGTAATCCTCTATTCCAGTCTAATGACTCTACTGTGTTTGTCACTAACATTTGTGTATTCTTAAAAGTAAGTCAGTGTTGCCTCACCTTGATGCACGGTTCGTTACATAAACATTGCTATTTCTCTGACCACTGGTCTCTTCCATGCATTCAAAATACCAGCATTGATGTGCTGTCACCTCTAGCAGCCCTAAAGCACGCGCTGCTGAAGGCCTGACTACAGAATCCCATATAATCCCAGTTCCTGGCTCCTTTCTGTCCAAGGTGGCTATTGATGTGGTCTGTGAGCCTTGGCTTTGATGTCAGTCTGCAGGGATTTAATAGATTGTTACTTGTTTATTTTAACTTGAATCACATTTCAAAATTCTTGATCATTTCTGATATTTGGAGTAACTACCTTTGCAGCAGTGAGATTGTTTCTATACCATGGAAAATGTTCTGCTTGCTTAGTAGAATGCTTTAGTGGTTTATGGTAAAGAGAGAAGAAGCTGATCTCTATTAGCTCTGAGGCTTCTGATTAGGCATTTTTGTGGATGGTGATACCACTGATTAAAATGGAAAACATGTAGAGCTTAGAGGTGATGAACCCAGACTTGCACCTGAGAGGTTTTGGGGTACCCAGATGGAGAGAGTTGTGAGCCCCGTGGGCCATTGTGTCCCATAGCCACGTATTCAGTAGGTGATTCGTGGCAGTGATACAAAGATCATGAGCTGATAGAAGAGAGCAAGGATAAGGTGGTGGAGTACAGGAAAAAACATAGTTCAAGGAAAAAAAGTCATTACACTTAATATTTTTATAATTCAGAAAGCAAAGCTCAGCAAACACTCTTACCTGGGGAGTAAGACATTGTATAGGTGTGGCTTATGAAAGATTGAACAAGGCCCAATACATTTATGAGGACAAGAGGCCGTTGGGAAAGAAGCTGGGGGAACATCTGCGAGTACATGTAGAGGAAAAGGTACAATTCAGACAGAAAGAAGTTTGAGTTCAAAAAAGCAGGAGAATGAACGTGAAGTTACAGAAGTGAACAAAGAAAATTCCACAGAACAGGGTGGTCAACAGTGTCAGGTACTCAAGGGAGAAGACCAAAGGAGACAAGATGGGGCAGGGATGTTCTGTGTGTTTGGTCACAGTGGTCCAGCAAGGGTGGTGCAGAGGGAACTGGCTGCACACCCAGACAAGATGACCAGGAGAGACACAAGTGTCTGAATCAGACTGAACTGGCCCCTGTGCTTTTCCCTCTTTGCAGTGTATTAGTGCGTTACCAGTCTAATCAATATTCCTTCTGCCTTCGTACATTAATGTAAATCTGAGATGGAAATATTGCCACCTAGTGGGTTGTCCTTTTACACCTGCACCCTGCCCCCTGCCCCTCAAGCCTACCAGTCAATGTGCTAGGGACACAGAGGGAGTGAAGAGTGACATAAGGCTGAAAAGGGGGGGAATCTGAAATACTAAAGTTCTAAAAAGAAAGCTCTCAGAAAGATGGAAAATTAAAATACACCTTGCTGTGTCACTGTCTTGTATGTCCTTGTCTACACACCAGTACACTTGGGAGCATTGGCTTCTGGGTGGCTGTGTCACTTACTAGCACCCACTGTGGGATTTGCATACTCCAGGGTATAGTTCTGCCTAGAAACAAACTATGCCCTAGCTCCTGGCTGTGTCCTCAGGACAAGTCCTCAGGACAAGTCAGTATTTTTTCTTTTTTGTTTTTGTTTTTGTTCTCTTTTGTCTTTTTGAGACAGGGTCTCACCATGCTGTTCAGGCTGAACTTGAGCTCACTTTGTAGCTCAGGCTGGCCTCGAACTCGCAACAATCCTCCTGCCTCAGCCTCCTGAGTGCTGGGATTATAGGCGTGGGCCACCATGTCCAGCTGGGTGGTTTTTGTTTTTGAAAAGGGTCTCACTATATAGTTCAGGCTGCCTTGGAACTCACCACAATCTTCATGCCTCAGCCTCCTGAGTACTAGGATTACAGGCATGTACCAGAAGTCAATGTTCTGTGATAAAATATTTCAAGAAGAATAATGGAAATAATACTGCTCTCTGTGCATTTTATCTTCTTTATGCTTCTAGTAGCCAAATAGCATGATCCCTTGCCTGAAATCTAGAAAGCTTGAAAATTAGCAGTATTTTCATACTTCATTTGATGGCAAAACCAGACCCAAACAACACAAAATTAGTTATTATTTTAGTATCACTCACTTGGCATATTTATACATCTCACTTCAGCACTTGCCCAGGTTATTAGGTAATATGTGGTGTGTGCAATATTCCACTATTCTGAAATACAAAAAGAAAATGAATTTCAGGATATATCTGATCTCACTCTTGGATAATGTGATATAGACTCGTATCTTCATTTTCTAAGCAAGGAGACCAAGGCTTTTAGTAATTAAATCACTCAAGGATGAGCAGCCAGGACAGGGAAGAAGTGTAACTTAATCACTGTAGCATGCTATGTCGGTCTATCATTATATCATTACGTTATATAATACTCTCTTTGTGTTCTCAGCCACACTCTACAGAATCTTGTTGGGAAGGTAAGAGTACAACACAATGAGGAAGATGATTCAGATGCAATTTACTACCTTTACCCATGAGGCTGAGGCAGGAGAATTGCAAATTAAGAGGCTAGCCTGGCCCCCACATAGTGAGTTCAAGGTCAGCCTGAACTACTAGCAAGACACTGTCTTTTTAAAAAATGTTCACTGACTTTCAAGGACGTTATAACTTGCTCTCATTAAAAGAACGATTGGGTGTAGCTTTGAATGTTAGAAAATATGAAGTGTGATTGAAAAACATGGTGACTATTTAAATGTTTTAAAAATTTATTCCAGTAAAAGACATTGTCACTGAAACCCCGTCCACATATTCCCCGTTGGTCAAACACTCACTTGCCACTTTCTTGGAGTCCTCTTCTTTCCTGTGAATATCTTCAGTTGCACTGTCATGGTTGCCTCAGTATCCTGACTTAGGGTTATTTTGACTTGAGCTAGAAGTTACAGGGTGCCACATCCTGTGAATAGGTGGGTGAAGACACATGGTAATGTTTTTATGAGGCTGCCTTCCCATTGGGTGGCACAGACCAACAGCATTCATCACACTGTTTATCGTTTTTTGAGTAAAGACATGAAAGAGGACTTCCAGAACTGCCTCAGAAAGTGGCAAGATGACAAGATAAGTGTGTTTAAAGTGAGGGGGGAAGCTGGGTGTGGTGGCACATGCCTGTAAGCCTATAATCCCCGCTCTCAGGAGGCTGAGGCAGAAAGATCACTGTGAGTTTGAGGCCAGCCTGGGCTACAAAGTGAGCTCAAGGCCAGCCTGAACTGCATAGTGAGACTGTCTCAAAAAAGACAAAAAAAAAATAAAGAGGGGGGGGATTTGAGGGAAATTAGTGACAGTGTCTTTTACTGTAATAATTTTTAAACATTTAAACACTCTGTATTTTGATCATTCCTTGTACTCTTAATCTTCTTACCTAGAAGACTTCCCTTAAGGGTAGTTACATAAAGAAGGACATAGGTATATTATGATTGTTTGGTATTGCAGAAGAGTGCTAATCAGATTATAGTATATATTATTTTATAAAGAAACATTTACCTGCTGCTGCTCTGTGCCATCCAGTGGAAAGGCAGGCTCATAAAAAGATGAGTGTGTCCTTATTCTTATTCACTTGATGTGTCACCCACCCCTGAGTCTTGCAGCAAAGATGTCTTTTATAAGGTGATTAGAATACGCATAAATTTGAAATAATTTTTAAATAAAGTTTTACAATAATTCTGACTTTTTAGTCTTTAACAGTGTCTTAGCTCTGATAACTATGACCAAACTATTAAAATTGTGTCGTACTGTTTAAATTAGTCCACACAAAATCATGATCTTTAATTCATCAGCAAAGACTCGAGAAATACAGACTATGCCAACAGTTGTATATTCTCTTTTTGCCACTTGGTTAAAGAATATAGTGAGACCAGAATCTTCTGGCCAGACCTCATAGCTGAAGCAGAGACTTGAGATTATCTAAAGATTTCCCCTCCACCTAGCTACATGCCTCCTCCCCTGGAAGAGGCAGTAGGAGGTGGAGAGAAATAATTTAGTAGAGTCTTGTAAGACCCTGCTTATTTGGTTTATACTTCCGCAGCAGTTCAGGTGAGAAACAACAAGTGGATTTTACTTTGTACTTTGCTGTGTAAGTATATATTAAGGTTACCTACACACTTACGTATCAAGCTTTGGGGTGGTCTTTTTAATTTTCACTTTTATTAAAACATACTTTATGTATTTATAGGAAATCTGTATTGCAAAACACAATGAAAAATTCCAGCAGCGTTTTCAGAGTGAAGATGAATATAGAACCCATCACACAGTACAACTGGTAAGTTTGGACTACCAGACTTGCGACAAAGCTCATTTTTTACATGTCTCAGAGTGGATAAAATCTGTAGAGAATTGTATAGCTGAATAAATCTATTACAGTAACACACAGAAGAGTTTTACTGCCCTAAACATCCCTTTGTTCCACCTATTCATTCCTCCCTGCCCCCAGACCCCTTGCAATCACTGCTTGTTTTACTGTCTCCACAGTGTGGGTTTTTCTGTCAGACATGGTAGGGATAGTACAGTGTGTTGCCTATTCATACTGACTTCCTTTATTTAGTAATAAGCATTTAAGGTTCCTCTGTCTCTTTGTGGCTTGATGGCTCACTTACATTTAGTGCTGAATAATATCTTCTTATGTAAACAGTTTATCCATTCTCCTCTTGGGACATCTTGGTTCCTTCCAAGCCTTAGCAATTATGGATAAAACTGCTATAAACATCCATGTAACATTCTTGGTACACACGTTTCAAGTCATTTGGGTAAATATACCAAAGGCATTGATTGCTGGATAGTATGTAGTACATTTAGTTTTGTGATGCCAAATTGCCCTCCAAAGTAACTGTACCAGTTTGCATTCCCACCAGTGACATATGGATGGGAGTTGGAGTTCTTTACACCTGTCTAGCTTTTGCTCTTGTCAGGGTTTTGAATTTTTGGTGTTTTAAGAAGATGTGTCATAGTGTCTCTTTTTTATTTATTTATTTTTTTAATTTTTTTTTTATTTTAAAGAGTAAAAGAAGGATAACAATAATAGGGGGGGCTTACCAAATTACAGACAAAGTGGTAGGAAATTATCAATGGTTATTGTTTTACATATTGTTATCTACAAGATAGTTTCTCAGGAAAACAAATAGACAAATGATAGTGAGTTACAGACAAAATAGGTAGGAGATTATCAGTACTTGTTGTACTATACTTAGGTATCTTCAAAGTGGCTTCTAAAGAATATAAATAGAACTATACATGAGTGACCAGTTACTGAATAATCATTCGGTAATTCTCAATGGTTGTTGTAGGAAACATATAATAATAAACATGGATCCATTTATGAAATAGGATAGGAACAACACAAACATTACAGAGTTATGGATACGTTAGTAGAAAAATATCAATGACTGCTGTAATACATGGTGGTATCTTCAAAGTGGTTTCTCAGGAAGACAGAGATACACAAAAAGGATCCAACAAGTAGTTACAGCCTAAGGGTTGTCAAAAATCAAGTGAGCCATCTGGGGCAAAAGCCATATTTTGTAGTGTTTTCTTTCCAACTTCCCATCGCATTGGGACCCCACAACCAGTTAGTGTCCTCTCCCCAACTGTCAGCACAGGCAGAAGGAATCCTGCTGCAGACTTCTCTGGAGCTTCACCACAGCCTATACTGTCAGGGGAAGAATGGCTTCCAGGGAGTCTCTGGAGGTATTGTGCAAGGTCCTCCTGGTTTACAGCTCCTGAGCGGCTCTTGTGACCCCAGTCCACAGGACCTCTGACTCCATGGGCTTAGTCTGCATTCTCATGTTCTCTGAGTCCTTGTTCAGCAGCTGCTCCTCCGCTGGCTCTGGATCTTTCTGGTTCACAATGGCAGGAGCAAGAGTGGCCCGTTGTATGGCATGTATTCCCAGGGGTTGTTCAAAGTTTGAATGATTCACACATGTCCGTGGGTAGGCATCTGCAGTCGGTGCATGGTGGGCCAATTGTGTCATTGTTTCTCTGTGTCATGATAGTTCTCAATTGAGCAGCGGCGGCCGGCCTAAGGGCCAGTGCACAACAGCGCTCGCCGCCACATGGCTTCCCGTGCGCCAGGGGCCCTCCAGGGGCCTACGAGGCAGGAAGCTAGCCAGCCAGAAGACCGGCGCTCCCCGCCCGTGGCTCCCTGTGTGCCAGAAACCCTCCTTCCAGGGGCCTACGAAGCAGGGAGTGAGCCGCCGGTCCAAAGACCGGCGCTCCCTGCCCATGGCTCCATGCGCCGGGGGCCCTCCCTCCAGTGTCTCTTAGCGTACAGTTGTCCAGTGACATATGATGTTAAACATCCTTTCGTATACGCATTTGTCATCTGTATATCATTTTTGCAAGTTGTTCAGCTCATTTGCTTGGTTGTTGAGCTTTTGTTTTCCTACTGTGTTTTAGGAGCTCTTGGTATATTTTGGGTAACAATTCTTTAGCACATGTATCTTTTCCAAATATTTTCTCCCAGTGTGTAGCTTCCTTCCCAGAAGAAAGTTTTACTTTAGCAGAGTCTAATTTTTGCGATTTGTGTCTAGATAGCCCCCCAAAGCCTCATGCAGTCCTAGGTTCACTTTTTTTAAAATTTGATTTTAAAGAGAAAAAAACAAAATTTCAAAATGAGTTAATAGAGTAACAATGATTAATACATTGTGTATTGTTAATTTAGTTACTCAGAGTACAAGATACTGGCATTTAATTATCCAAATAATATTAGAACAACCCTTTCTTTTCAATGAATTAAGAAAAATGAGTAGTATAACTGTCTTAACTACTGTGTGTGTGTATAATATATATATATTTTTGTTTATTTTCCTTCGTCCTTTTCTCCTTTCCCCCATCCCAATTTCTCTTTCCTTTTGAACAGTTTCTTCCTGTTTCACAATATCTACTGTACATTTTAGATCTCACTCTTTCAGCTTCTCACACTAGGGAGCCAATACAATGTTTACATATGTGAGTCTGATTTATTTCACGAGTATGGTCTCGAGGTAGGTATGTGCATTTACTTACAAAAGTCTCCAGTTTATCCTTTATGGCTGAGTAGTACTCCATTGTATACAAAGACCACATCTTTTTCATCCATTCCTCCGTTGATAGGTTGATTTCTAAGATGTAGCTATTACAAATTGTGCTGCTATAAACATGGGTACATATATATCACTGTGGTATACTGTTTTTAATTCTTCTAGGAAAATACCCAGAAGGGGAAAAGTGAGTCAAATGGGACCTCTAATCCTAGTTTTTTGAGGACTCTCCACACTGATTTCCATAGTGATTATACCAGTCTATAGTCCCACCAGTAATGGAGAAGGATTCCTCTTTCCCCATAGTCACTAGAGCAATTGTTATTGGTTGATTTCTTGATGATAGTCATTCTTTCTGTGGTGAGATGGAATCTCATTGTTGTTTTAATTTGCATCTCTTGAATGAGCCAATCATGTTGAACATTTTTTCTTATATTTATTTGCTGTTTGTATTTCTTCATCTGAGAAGTGTGTATTCATCTCAGATGGCATTTTCCTGATTGGATCTTTAAATATGGGAGATCAGGTTTGTTTTGTTTTGTTTCATTTGTTTTGTTCTTCATGTGTTCTTCATGTCCTTTGAGGAACAGATAGGTGGGGTTTTTCAGAAGTGGCTGGAGATCTAGAGTATATGACCCTGAAATTGATTCCTGGTGCAATGCTAGGATCAAGGGCACTGGGATTAAGGGTGTGAGTGCTACCTGCCCTGAGACATTGCCAAATTCAAGGATATTTTCTTCTGCGTTATCTTATAGAAGTTTATGGCTTTGCCTTTTATATTTAGGTATTGATTTTGAGTTAATTTTTGTGAAAAGTATAAGCTCTTTTCCTAGGTTTTGTTTTGTTTTGTTTGCATTTGTGTGTATAGTTGTTCTAGCATCACTGTCATTGTTTAAAGACTGTCAGGTAGCTCCATTGAAATATGTTTGCCTCACAGTAAAAAATCTGTCTGTATGGGTCTGCTGTTTGGATTATGGTCCATACTAGGCTTAAACTCGGTATGTAGCCCAGGCTGCCTCAAACTGCACTCAACCTAGTAAGTGCTGAGATTACAAGTGTATACCACCAGGCCCAGCTAGTATGTGTGCTCTCTGTTCTGTTCTGTTCTGTTCTGTTCTGTTGATTTAGATCTTTTGCCTCTTTAAGCTTTAGAGTCAGCTTGTTGATAATACACAAAATAATTAGCTGTCATTTGGATTGGAACCACATTGAAGCTGCACATCAAGTTGCAGAGACATCTTAAATACTACATTTCCATGTCCATAAATAAGGATTATCTCTGTCATTTATTTAGCTCTTCTTTTGTTTCATTCATCAGTTTTCTTAGGTTTTGTATGTCTAGGAGTATGTATGTATGTAAAATTCCCTATTTCTTTTGGTTGAGGTTGGTGGTAATATAATAATGTTTTTAATTTTCAAACTCTAGTTGGTTCATTGTTGGTGCATATATTAGAAAACTTTGACTCATGTGCATCAACCTTGTTGAAATGACTTATTTCAGGATTATTTTTGTCTTGTATTTTTACTTAGAGAGTTTATATTGTCTACATCTGCAACTTTTTCTCTTAATCTGCTTGTCTTTTATTTCCATCTTATCCTGTTGCATTAGCTGTTCCATTATGTGTTGAAAAAAGAAGTGAAGAGGGTGCATACAGCTTCTTCTTGATGTTAGCAGAATGCTGTATTTTCTTACATTAAGTGTGGTGTTACCTGGTAAAAATCCCTCATCAAGCTGGGAAGTTTCCCTTCATGTCCTAGGTTGCTGAGAGTGTCAGTTCACTTCATATAACTTACAGTAGAACCTTGCTTCCATCCTGGTACTGCTCTTCACTCATCGTGCCTCCAGTGTTATCCTGATAGGTTTTTTAAAATGTATCTATGCCTTAGCATTAGTGATTTGTAGTTAAATATCACAAATGCCAAATAACCATATCTCTGTATTTGCTTATATTAAAAATGTTCTTTCTTTAGCGCTCACACTTAAGGCCAAATGACTTAAATTTATCTCTTCATCCTTTAAGCTCATTTTAACTAAAGCTGCTCTTTACTCTTAAACATATAAAATTAACCAAGCTGCCCATCAACTGTAAAAATTACCTTTCTCTTAGAAGCTAGAAATATGACTTAACTCCCCACCCTGTGTCTGTTTCCGTGGTCAGTAACTGCTTTGTGAGACTAGACAAGGGAAAAGCAAGGCAGCTCCGTGAGTAAAGATGCTTCTGAGTGCCCTCTTTGTACCTGGGGTTAA